GATGGGACCGGTTTGTTGTTTTATTTTTATGCTGTATGCCCCCTCCCCCCGCCGGTCCATGAAAATATTGTCTGACATATAGCGGTCCGTGGTGCAAAAAAGGTTGGGGACCCCTGCTCTAGACATCGATTTTGCAAAAATGTAAAGGAATCGATTCAAAATCGATTTTATCGTTTTTTGTACCCAGCCCTATAGGTAAATATATTGTAGAGGCAGGTATATTGTTATTATACAGTCAGAAAGGAAATAAAAAAGCTGAATCAGACACTGCAGACCCCTGATCATAGGAGCAATAATCTTTCTTCTAGTTTAATAATACATTTTAATAAATTCTAAATACAAATATAATTTCTATATGTTCATTTTTTTAACAGTAAACTGTATAATCTCTGCTTCATTTTCGCGAAGCTGTTCATCAATTGTGACTTTCTTAATTTGGAGAATTCTCCTCTCTCAACTGCGCTGTGACGGCGGAGCGGCGAGAACAGAAAATTAATAAATTAAAAAAATCAGTGCCCCAGGCCCACCCAGGCACCGCAGATCCACAACAGGGCACATGCCTCTGTGCAAAGGGTCTACCGACGCCGATGCCTTCAGTTCTGCTGATGTTGATCTGCTATGAAGATAAGAGGGGGCACAGGGCTGCTGTTTAACTCTGCTGACACCAGATGTCAGCAGAGATTTAAAATTCGACCCTCTAGTGTTTTAAAGAGCGACATGCTACATGCTACATGGGTCAGAGCCTCTGACTGGACTGGGTTCATCAGCATGAGGAGGAACAACTTCCTAATAACGACTGGTGTCGATGGTTTTAGGTAAAAGGAAGAGAGACCCTGCTGCTGACTGAGTGTTTTTGTTGTTGAGGCTGGCAGTTTAATTATTGATAAAACAGCGACAAACTATCTCCAGAATGAAACGGAGATACTAAGGTTTTTGATGATGTAAGGTCCTGCTGATCACCAGTGCAGGCCTTACACAAGAGAACTGATAGGATTTTTTTCTCTGTAAAGTCCATTTACACTAAAATCAATTCATTGTGGTAAAGAAACTCCTCCAACAGAAAGAATACAATAAATCAACTAATAATATCTGAGAAAATGAGCTTGGATAGAGACCATCACTCATGCATGTATGCAGAGATTTGGGTGCTAATAGCAAAGACCCTGTCTGACCTAAAGTTCCACTTTTGCTGCTTTTCTATATCATAAAAAATCCAGTATTTTAAACTCTTAAATACCAGTTTAAACCATTAAATCAGATTTTCTTTCATCCTTTCTTTGTTAGTGAAAATGTGTTTTGGGGGGAGAAATGTGTCATAAATGGGCAACAAAATGGAGTTAATTCATGCAAGCAGGTTTAATCAGTAGATTAAATATTTCACTTTGTGACAAAAGGAAAAAAATTTACAATAATACCTGAATTTATTTTAATACACAAGTTACACAAAACAGTTTAATCATTTTGTCTGGATTTTTAACACAAACCTAAAAACATGATACTCCCCCTGTGAGACCTGCTCTCATTGGTTGATCAAACGTTTGTTTCCACCAGTCCACAGTAAACGGGACAGGTGCAGGAGTGACCCAGTTAGTCTCGGCTGGATGCTTACCTGAATGAGAATCTTCCCCAGGGAGACGAAAGGTGTGCTGAGCTCGGTTAGAAACAAGCAGCCGATGAAGAAATCCCCCTGGTCCTTCCTGAAGAACTGAGCAACAGAAACAGAGCAAACAGATGCAGGTGTGAGAATTAGAGCCTATGACATCCCAGCCCAGTTACTCCGTCTAAACCAGTCCAGAATTGTGTGTAATCCACAAAACTAGTAAAGCTATAAAAGTTTGATCTTTACTTAACATTGCTTAAGGTTAGATTCAAGTTAAAAGTTCAAGTTTTTATTTAGCTATGATTAACAAGTATAGTTTTGTTCAATTTAGTCCTCAAATGTCCTTACCTGTAATTGAAAAAAGGAAGAAAAACAAACTTCAATCGTCTATATTTCCTGGCAGAAACCAGTTAAAGGTTAATAAAACCTTCATCTCACACAGCATCAAACACCCTGCTGTCAGGTGAGACACACAGCTTACTGCCGACCTTCTAACTGCTCCAGGTGTTTGAATTAAAATCAAATCAACACAGTTTGATAATGAAAAGGATTTTGTCCGAATTAAAAACCAAAACCTGAACAGAAACCTTGAGCAAACATCTATAAACAAGGTGCGGTCCAGGACACACCAAGGACTCAGCAGATGCATAGGTGTGCTAAGCCTGAGCTGTTTCATTCATGTTAGAAAAAGTCACAGAATTGCCAAGAAGGTTCAGAGAAGAAGCCATTTTCTTGCAGAAATAAGTAAAAGGATAAAAATGTGAAAATAAAGGGTCTGAGCTTTTCTTCATATTCAGCTGGAAACGGCTGACAAACATGAAAGAAATTATTGTTACGTCACCTAGTGGCAGGAAGAGGGAATTAACAACCGCTGCCAGCAGGCAGACACTGAAACCTGCAGTCTGTTGAGGCCAAGATGGATTTATTCAGATATCAAGAAGTCCTGCTGTGGGTGAGAAGGCTAAATCCAAAACACTGCTGGACCTTCATACAGGACAATGAGCCAAAGCAGAGATCTAAGTCTAACTGATATATATTACTGGACAGAACATCATGTGACTACCGAGTGGCACAGGGGCCACTGATATAAATGCTGCTGCAGGAGTAAAATCAGCATCAGAAGTACATGAAATAGGTAATTTCTTTCAAAAAACCTTTAAATATACAAGGACATTTACAATATGACTTCAAAATAAATGAAATATAAAGGACATTAAATATTAGATGGAGAAAAAAATGAGAAACAATAGGTGAACAAATATATATACAAAAGGTATGCCATTAAACGTAGTAGAGTTTAAAATACAAACACAAAAATGTCCTTTTTAAATAAAATGTTATAATAAAAGGAACTTTAGTAATCATAATTGGCAAGTTATTAGTGGAGATTATGAAGGAAAAACAGAATCTAAACGCCAGACAATCGTGGCTATGCTAGCATTCTGACTTTATCTTCTCCCTCTCTCTGCTTTCTCTCAGAAATCCACCAACTGTGAAACAGTAATCACAATCAAGCAATCCGAGCGAAGTCTGCGAAGGCTCAGTGTAAAAGAATCCTGGACAAAAACGCGACCGTCATAGTCCCCCGATTTGAAAACCCCAGGTGACCGTAACACATTAATGAAAAGGAAGGATTTGGCTAAGATCCCTGAGGAACGCCCCCAGTAGTTGATGTCTGGCTATAAATCAGGTCACAACAGCAGTGTTGCTCTGTTTCAATCTGAAAAACTCACAAAAACAAGGAAGGAATTTAGAGGAGTTTTATTCAAACAATATTTCTAAGATTTTGGTCTTAATTGTTAATGGATTCATTGTTAATGTAGGGGTTAGAGGGGTACATTAACAATGAATTTTACTTTGATTACATGCATTAGCTGTTGAATGAAAGCAGGGATGAACCCCCCCAGGCCTGAACCTCAATTGCGGGCAAGCATTGAGCGACAGTGGGGAGAAAAACCTGTCTGACTCAACATGGCGGTCTTCTGCTAGACCAGCTGCAGATGCCTATTGAAAGCAGTAGGAGTCCAGGTCATTACTTCAATAGACGTAATCAGCCGCATGGAGAAGGAGCCAGGCGGAGCTTGAGAGGATGGAGGAAAGTTGAATCGGGTTCATAAGAATCAAAGTCCAACATACCACCCAACTCAGATGCTTGTTGGTGGCAGGTTGAGTTGCTGATTGAAGTCTTGCATGCTGACAGCATCATGAACAGGTTTAATTTAATGTTAATTAACTGCTTCATAGATGGAGGGTAAATGGTCCAGTTTATTTAGTTGAATTTTTGCCATGGCCTCATTAATCTATAAAGAAGTTTGAATACTTTTCAAACTGTGATAGTCATACGTTGAAACATTTTGGTTTGATCCATCTATTCTACTTTTTTTTTTGTTAGATTAGTTTTTCAAATTAAACCTCCCTATTAACGTGGGCCAATATTCAGAGACAAATTATTCAGCTGTCAGCTTTGGGCCAAATAAATGTTTTAGATAAGAAAACATTTTTGGAGGTTGCATTTTTTCTGGAATATTTGCTCAAAATGACACAAAATACCAGAATCCCCGTTTTAGATCTGTTATTCTCGTCTTTATGGTAGAAGCTTTGTACCTTTATCTTTACATTTGCCAAAAAATTTAAAAAGAGGAAATTATATCCATACTCCTATGGGTTTCTTTATTTCAGACCTTAAAAGTCAAAAGAAATATTAAATGTATACTCAAGTACAGACTGAATTAACTGCTTTAGCTGTATGCAATAAAACCCTAAAAAAAGGGAGTTTAATCCTATTAAATTTTACAAGAACTACAACAATACAGCCAAATGAAAGCCAGGTGGAGTGGGGCGTGGGGGTGGTGTCCTGAGCACAAGTAATGAATAAGGTGTTCAAATATTGACTAGCAGCGCCGTGCTGAGTGATGTCACTCAGAACAGGTGAGTGAGGCTGGATGGATGAAGGGACTGAAAACGACAAACAAGCTGTCTCTGGTAGACGAACTGGTATAGTGAGCTGATGATCAATAAACCATGAGCTGCTCCAGCTTTGCCATCTGCCACGAAAAATGTTTGGCACCAATGAGGAAAAGTTTACAAAACGCCTACAGATCTACCAGCCAACCTTAACGACGGTGAGAAAAGGTCTGCCAGCGCACATTTTAATGTATCCGCTAACATGATCTGAGCAAACACGCAAATCATTTTTTAAAAGCATTTAAAAGCAGAAACCATTTTAAAGGATGGTTACAGCGTGTGCCCCCCTTTTTTTTTATTTATTTATTAGTGTTTTCAACAATCAGTCACCAAAATAGATTCAGGGCTTTTCAAACATTCCGGGCTTTAAGCCCCCAAAGCCCCCCTGTTCCGCAACTGACTGCAGGTCAGCGGCACAAAATCCCATATAAACCCAAATGTCCCTGACACCATTCTAAATATGAGAAGAACGTGACACGGAAAAGGGAAATTGACATTATTTCTATTGGTTTTTCAGTTTTCAGTCATCCCTAAAAATAAGGGCAATTAATGACCATATTTAGTTTCATGTCAGGAAGCCTACCCAGACCTGATTACAGGTACACCTGCTACAAAGAAACAACTTAAGCAGAACCTGAACCTAAGATCAACAAATAGCAACTCTTTCTGCCTCCATTTAAATAAATAAATAAACAAACAGGATGAGAAACAAATTAGCCGACATCTATTAGTCTGAGAAGGGTTACAGAAGCTTTGGGCTCCAGAGAATAATCCTTTAGAATAAGCCATTAATGTAAAAAGACATCAAACAAGTAGGAACTCCTTATTGTGTCTGTTAAGGTCAGAGGTCATTGGGCAAAAAAGGCATCCCTTAAAATTCCAAAGCTAGTATCACTGCTGACTGCTGCTGAAAGATGAAGGCCTGTCTCACTTTAACACCAACCGGTGTAAAACTAAAATGGCTTTTACAAACAGAAAACCATCCACACAGTCAAACATGGCAGAGGCAGTATGATAATCTGGGCCTGCTTGAACTGGATGGCCAGCCGTTCATTCTACTCTGTGGCCAACCATCAGGTATCGATCACTTTGGTTCAGGGCAAAACCTCTGAATGGAGGCGGGGGAAAAAAAATCTTAAGTCTAACAAAGACACTTTCATTTGATCTTAAAAACAGGCAACTGGAAAAAAAAAACTGGAAAACCCTCCGATGTTAAAAAAATAAATAAATAAAAGCTGCCCTAAATCCCTCCATAGGGATGAACACTATCCCGTTTATATCAAGAGAGAACAAGATTGGTTAGGTTTAGGGGACATTTAGTTCCCCATAGGGATGGGACGATTTATGAAAACCGTCAGAACCCTTCGGTTCGACTGTCTCGGTTCGGTTCGCGTGTGTTGCGTTCGGTTCATGCGCTGCTCCTTTTTCTCATAGGCGAAGCGATTACACTCCAGAGCACAAGGTGGCGGTACTGCGACCAAAGCCAACTACCAGTAGTAAACAAGAAGAAAAAGCGAAGCAGCGTAGCCGGGTGTAGCAGGGGAAAAAATCAGTTGTTGCGGAAAATTGTGTCGGAATGGCGATTTGGAAAGAACAGGAGTTGGAAGACGCGCCAGCAGCACTTTATAGGTCTGCTGTATGGGACCACTTTGCATTTAGAGTGACCTACGATGACGGCGGAAAGAAAGTTGTGGATAAAAGTGCAACAGTGTGCAAGCATTGTGCAACACGTTTTGTTTACGCTAACAGCAACATGACCAACATGTCATGCTAACCCCAAAATCCCTCATACTCCGTCAGCAACCCCCGCTCCGCCCCGCTGCGCTCCAGACCGGCTGCTCAGAGCAAAGCCTACAGCCTCCACTGTGGCTCCCTCCGTCCGCTCTGCTCTGAGCTCCTTGGAGATGGTAGAGAGCATGCTCGAGATGATTAAATTCAAAGCAGCAAAACATACGGAAATGATCAAGGGTTTCCGCGGATCATTTAAAATAATTACAATCCATTATTTTTGGGGGGATTTTTTCATTCCATAATTTTTTATGGGATTTCGGTGTAGCAATCAACATGTATCGAACCGAACCGAAAACCGTGACCAGAAACCGTGAATCGAACCGAACCGTGGATTTTGTGAACCGTTCCAC